AATTTTTTTAAATTAAATTAATCAATAATGCGATATATGCCTATAATAAAGGACAGTAAATGCTATTACTCTCCTCTCCTTCATTTTATAATACAGTCGAAACATTTGAGGTATCCTATTTTCTGTTAAAATCGATATAAATATTCATTTTACTATAGAAGATGGAATATGGTTTCTTTGAATCTCAAAGCGAGTACCGATTGCGAGTAGTTAGTAAACTCTTGTATCAGAGAAACCCTAATCAACAGAAGTTGAGTCATCCAAAAAAACATCACACAGGGAGTATAAATGAATCAAAAAACAAAAATAGAAATTCTCTAGGGAGAAAAGTAATTCTATAAAAAACTGTTCCCTCTAGAGAGCACACTTGGTAAACTTCGGGTTTTTTTTACTTCTTTGTAAAAATGTTCCTCTGAGAATTCCAAATAGTTACTTAGCCTCTTTTTTACCCTTGTTTCCTGAGCAGTATGTGATTCTTTCTTTTGGCAAACCTTTTGTGGAAAACAGGTATCAGAAAATAGAATATGTACTCCAACCTGGAACAATCAGAATATTCTGAACACTTTATCTTCATTATGTGTGATTTATACTAAACTGCTTGGGTCTGATCAAGAGTTGATGAAATTTTGGCGGTCATTCAATATAAACTAAAGCTTAGATTTCAAACTTTAGTTTTCCAGTTCATAGGCATGACGCAGTATATTGTTACCAGAATTTGCATTGTCTGACTGAGGATATCGCTATTGGTCCGGCTATATTTCAGTGAACTGTAAATCTAAATTAAAACTATTTAACAAACTAAACTGTAATATATCATCATCTTTATTTTACCCATTTGTAGAAGACACTCAGGCTTCCGCACTCACTCTACTTCGTCATTGAAGCAAAAGTAATAACATACTTTTTGTAAACAGTAGCGATGGCAGCGCCATCTGGCTTCAAAGGGATTTAACAGCTATGGTCGTTGGCACTTCGCTGGATTTTAATGATAATAATTGAACTCAAAAGTTGTTTCCATATTAGAGCGTAAATTTTAAAGGCGAGTTTTCTTTTCCCTCTAAGTTATATTTTTCAACTGAAAACAGATATATAACTATTCAAAGTTTACAGCAAAACATTTGTTGAACACTATTATAGTTTACAGAAAATAAAAACTACTGGCTTAACCACTGCTCCTGGCTGAAAAGAGCTTAAGAGAGGTTAAAAAAAGTCACGTTATTAAATCAAAGCTAGTTTGTCAGAAACTGAGTTACACTAATATCTACACCTAACACTCTATCACTACTAGTTTTTCATTCTTGGTTACAATCATGATCCAAAAGTTTTATAAACAGAATTAAAGCCAAGCCAAACCGAAGTATCCCATCACAGGCGTGAAGAAGCAGCATGGAAACAAACTTTTATCAATCAAGTGTTCATCTTTCTATAATAATAAACCTAATATACCCTAAACATAAATTTGCTCATTCTAGACAAGTTTAAGTGAAATAGAAGAAATTACAGGAATAACTTCAAATAGAAATAACTTCAAATAAAACAGGTTAAAGGTTAAAACTCTCCCTTCTAACAAAATATGTACGGTCAGCCTCTAGGTTTATTGAAGTAAGGAATAATTTTTTAATGATTTTTATAGGATTGTTAAAATTCCTAAAAAATTACTTATTTTTTACATTTTTTCCAATAGCGGGCGCTAGCTATTATAGGTGATGGCCACTCCTAGAGTCGGAAGCTGTGGTCACTTTATTTTGGAGGCACCTACTAGGTAAGCCATTGTTGCCTCCTGGGAAAGGACGGATAATTTACATTCATGCCTTCTCTGGGATTCGAATTTGGGTCCTTTCAGAGCCACTTTACCGTCTAGGTGGTCTTCTTTATATACTTAATTTTATTTCTTTTTTACAGACTTTGCATCATCCCCCCCTCTTTCTTTACTGTGACCAAATGCTTGCTGGTGAAGCATTTTTCGGGAATCATCCCCAAATCAGTTGTTCATTCAGCCGTTTTATCTGTGACATCATTTGCCCAGCATGCATTCCTACAACTATTGCACTCGAAAAGAGAGAGGAAACATTGTACATACAACTTTGTCTTACATAAAAGTGGAACTCGAACTTTTGATTTCAAACTAGTAATCAGCCATAGCTAACCACCGTACTATATAAGACAGCTAAAATAATATATCTGAATGGTACCTTATTTGGATCTATCTTAATGCTTTACAAATTAGTGTTCTGCAGTCGTTGCTTGGCGAGATAAAAGTGGCTGTACAGCTTCACAAAAATCGTTGTGCAACAACGTGCGACCATAACTTAGAAATAATTTTCACTTGGGCCCTTGCTTATTCAGAATTTAAGAGCTGTCTTTATATAATAAAGCTGAACAATCAAGGTTATGAGATATAATAATAGAAACACCTTTTATTAATTACAATAACAGTGCAAATATTCATACAAATTATCAGTTACATATGTTCATTAAGAGTAGTATTATTAGTTAGACGCGTTATTAAAAATAAAGACGTCTTTAAATATTGAAGCATTTATATGCTTGTATGCATGTATATTCCTGGAATTGTGATAAAAACGGAGACACCTGGAGCCACCAAATTTCGAACACTCGTAGGTCGCCACCCGAACATATGCATTTCGATGCCGGAATTTTGAATTTCAAATCTGTTTCCTAGTGAGATTTTAAAGAGCTTTTGATTAAAAATTCAGCGAAGTGCGTTGCTATTCTGCAAAGCGTAAGATATGTATATGCCAAATTTAATCATAAAACTCAGAGGTATAAAAGAAGTATGTTGCCACTCGGTGAAATGCAATGTATTTGTCTTTCGCATTGTATATTATTGTGAAAACAACAGCAGTACCTAAAGCTACCAAATATTGAATACACATTCTCTTTCATTCGAACATACTCACTTCGAAGCCAGAATTTTGAATTTCAAAATTTTTTTATTTATTATTTTGTGAGAATATAAAGAGCTTTTGATCAAAAATTCAACAATATAAAATTTTGTGTTGCCACTCGGTAAAGTGTAAGACACTTATGTTCAAAATTTCATTAGAAAACTCAGGGATATAAAAGAAATATGTTGCATCTAGATAAAAACAATATGTAAGGTGCTCCCATGAAGTAACTGGACTATTTCTTATAAATAAGAAGATTACTAATCTTCAGATTAATTTATCTCCTTCAAAGTAATAACCAGAAGAGTCTATCAATTTTTTCAACGTTTCTTCAGGTCATCGAAAATGAAAGCCAAACAGGCGTAACATTTCTTTGGTTCATCTTCAACGCTTTCGCGCCCACATTTAAAGCAGCTGTACCTCTGATACACTTGTGTTCTTGATACTGATGCGGCACGATATATTTTTCGAGGGATCTTTTATGTTTCGTAGCAAATTCTTTGGGCGAATGATCCCTGTAGGTCATTATTACCAATTGGCTATCCCATATTTCTTATCTCAGTCTCACAGCGAAATCTGCAGGCTTCCTCTGAAACATGCAATTTTATGCTCCTCACAGATAACGCATTTCGATTGCAGTACCACTAATTTTCATATTGCATTTTTACGCAGCAATCCTGAATTGGCAACATACTCAAATTTTATACAGATTGGCTTATTTTTGAAAAGAGTTATTGCTATTTTTGTTATTTTTCCTTAAGTTTTGGAAACCAGTGTAGTATATTTAGTTCTTCTGTGTTCTACATGTATAATAACTGTTACCCTGGAATTAGTAATCTGAGGATGCATTCATAACTATAAAAATACTTATATACTGCATGAACATTACACTTGAATAGAAGAACCAAGGAAAATTTTAATACATTAGCAACTAATTCATTTTAAATTGGGACTTTTCCTCATATAATGGCAGTTAACTATTTGCTGAAGGTATATGACTTCTTAAAGTTAGAAATTCATTCCAAATTCGAAGCCGGGCGAACAATCTGGCTGCCTAAACTGTCTCATAATTTTCCCTATGCCTAACGAGAATAGAAATGAGTTTAAAATATTTTATGGAGGTATACGTCTCCTTAGGCAGATAACTGTTGCTTGCTTTACCTTACTTGGCTACATAAAAAATAGCGCATTTCTGCAGTCTAAGCTTAGTTTGAAGCATTGTACTATTACGAAATGAAAACATGAAGCATTTTATGTGCTTAAATCTTGAACATGTGGCTCTTAATTTACACAGAGTTAAATATTACTTAAAACGTGATTATATACATTTTTAACATAAAATGATCATGCAATTACTTCTTGGTACCAATTGTTTAATGCAGCACAGCAAAGAGAAATATCAAACAACTGATTCAAACGTAGATAATTTTTAATGTAGTAGTTTAGTAGTTTTAATATGGCAAAATAAGACAGGTTAAAACTGAAACTGTATCAGAAATTTTTAATAGAGGTTCTGTTGCCATATATTTTGAGAAAACATTTATAACTTATTCCATTGCAGTTAATTTTCATTTATTTTCATTGTCTTATAATCTAAACTCAGGACTAGATTTTGTATGCTTAGTTGTGATTTTTTAAGGTTTAATATTTATTAAATCCTGTCACGAATAAGTGCTAAATGAAATGAAAATTAACAACAGGAATTGGCGCACTATAAGTGAAACGTGCAGAAAGCTATTTACCATTACTTTCTGAAGAAATTGATTCTTAGTAACTTCTCATTCACTTTTCTATCCGTTCATGATGATTTTGTTTCCTATCAGTTGACCAGAAGCTTTCCGAAATTTCAAGCACGTATTTCCTTTCTTCGTATTTTCTCACATGCATCTGAAGAGGAATGTTCTGTTTGACCCTCAAAGTTATAGCACTTCACATTTTACTCATTTTTTGTCAATTATAGTTGCTTATTTTTGTTTTCTTCAGTATTTAGTTCATTTTGTGTGTCCTTTTGCAGCATTATAACAATTATATATGTATCACTGTTGTCAAAAGGACATTGCTGAATTTATTTTGCAATTATTTCCTTTTCAGGTATGGTGTGGCTCTAGTAGGCGTGAAGACGGAGATGGGAGGTACTTGGCCCATTCTTCTGAACCCTGGTCCCAGTTATGTGCTGAAAGCCGCAGATATCTGTTTCTACATGAATATCACCAAGGAGGAGAACAGCGCTTTTCTGCCTGTCGAACACAAGAGGGAGAGTTTAGTGGGCCTGAATCCGGATCCCAATCCCGAGATGGCCGCGGCTGATGAAAATGAAGCGAAGAAAGGCATTATTATAAAAATATTATTTAATTGTTACGTAGAAAAAAATTAAATCATTAAAATTACTTTTTTCAATTTACTTTTAAACTGACTTCTTCTTGATGCCGCGACAAAAAAAAAAAAAAAAAAAAAAAAAAAACTAATACTAAAACTAAACTATGGAAAATTATTATGTAATATTTTACTGTGCAAAAGGTATTCTTAGTATTTATATTATTTTACTGTGAACAATAAATTTGTAATGTTCCGTATTTAAGAATTTATGTATAATATTTAGTATTGTTTAAACTTATTGTTTAAAACTCAATTACGGCAAAGCTCCTTCAAGTTTAGCTGAAAATGCGATTCAGAAAAAAGGGCGAGGCTTGTTACTTCCGTTTCCCACGGAAGCGGTCAGTTGCGGCCGGCTGCATTTTCCTCTTTTTGCGGGGGGTTGAAAACACATGTTTGGCTCGTTCAGAAGTGGAGTCTAGGGGACGGCGCAGAGTTTAGTTTTTTTTTTTTTTTTTTTTTTTTTTTTGTTGTTGTTGTTGTTGTTGTTGCGGCACCAATAAGTCAAGTTTAAAAAAAATTAAAAGTTTTAATGATTTATTTCTTTTTGAATTTTTCTAAGTAATTTGAAAGTTATTTTTTTTTTCTACGTAACAAAATGAACTTTTTCTATATTTTAAGCTTCTACTTTAAGTAATATTTTAAGCTACTTCCTTCGCTAATCATAGCCTCTTCACGTACGTGTAGTACTTCACGTACGGAAGTACGTGTTAAATGTTCTTTTCTGATATACTTTGTGTTTCTAGGTTGCTTTATTTATCACTGTAAACATCAAATATAAATTCTTTCTATTAATATCCGTATTCTATTTCTTATTATTAAATAGTGTTTACATTAACTTGATTTGCAGTCAATCGGATATTCATCATTTCGCTTCTCGCATTGAGCGAATATTCATAATTTTTAAGTCGTTCATCCAAGATTCTTCAAATAAGTTTTCATTTTAATGAATTATTCAGTAATAGGAATTAAAATTTAAAAAAATTCTTTTCTAAATGCTTATTTAATGGGAAAATATTTTATTTTAAGCATATATCAGTTTTCAGATCTGAAATTAATATATGTATGTATTCTATAAATCATTATTCAGTAAGATACTCATAATAAAGTACTGGTTTTCTAAACGATATGGTCTGTATTTTGTAAACCTGATCTCTTCTTAGAATACTAACATTTTTGCTAAGTAGAATGGAAATCAAACATCCATTTTTTTGCATTAAATAATGCGAAATAATTTATATATTGTTGGTCGGATAAATAATGCAAAAGAATTTTTTGTTTATTTCGTTTCATTCATAATTGAAGAGTAATTCATTTCATTTCACAATCAGTTCATTTGTACGAAGACTGTTCCCACAATTTTTGAGATTTTGATTTGCTATAAAAATCGTCTGCTTGGAATTTTTTTCAACTTCATCTATATTTTTGAAAGTATAAATTACCGTCTGCTACTTGACAGTTTTGTTTTCATGCAAAATGACGCAATGGATGGAAGGCTATATTTGTTCTCCTTCCGAAGAAAATTATTCGTATCTGGTTATTAAAAAATGCTACGAAAGCCAGGGTTTTTCAATATCTAAAACTACGATAGGTAATACTGTGAACAAGAAAGAAAAAATCTTCAAAGCTAGGCTTCAAGTGAAAATTTTGTTTCAAATACATATCCAAGGAAAAAGCAGAATGTTGCGAATGTTACAAAGGTAATATCTTTAATGTTAAAAGAAAATCCGACAATTCAAAGGACAGTTTCAAAATCAAAGTGATTCTGATTTAAATCTTAAAAAGGCGAGAAAACATAATGTGCATCGTCTTTCTCCACGACATATCGTCGAACGAAGAACGCCCTGCAGCATTCTTTATAAGAAACATTTATTCGGACAAAAAGAAAAAATGTTGTCATAATAGATGAATCTTGGATGCATTTAAATGACTGCAATAAAACTAGATCCGTTTATTATCGTCAAAGAGGAGAAAAAAATCTTAAAACATGGTTCGAAGAATCTAAAGAAAGTTTTCAAAGGGATTTATGATTGTTGCTTGTTTTTCACTGCAAATCAAAAATAAACAGAGTGGAGAAAAGTGTTAAAATCAACTCCACATATTATCAAAAACATATCTGATGCTCATTTTTCAAATATGAAGTATCTTTTCTCTACTTACAGTGCCATCATTCAGTAGAACTGCATCAAAACAAAGCAAGCAGCCACACGTCAAAATCCACTATAATTTTCTAGAAAAGTGGAAAAAAACGGGTATCAAGACCGTATTTTTCATATATATCTCTACTAAATATCGTAATGTATCATCCATGGATTTGTGCAATTTTAGACTTTTAAAAAGCGGATTGTCCAAACGTCGAACTACAACCTTCTTTGGACTTTGAAAAGCTGTTCAAGAGTAATAAGATAAAATACCGGTTCCGATAATACAAAAGGCTTTCTTGTCTTGCAGTTACGATGTAGAAAGATAATGCAGAATTAGGAATATTAAACAGAACATTAAAAATGCAAACCTTTTTGGTAAAATATTATTGTAAATATAATGAAAATCGTCTAAAACATGTGCGAACGGCCTCTATATAAATCAGACACTCATTTCGTAATTGAAGATGATCAACTTCGTGATCATAATATGACCCGCAAATGTTAAAAATACTTTAATGCACGACGGGCTTTCTCTTTAGACATTCGTTTTAGTAAACGTTTGCATATAGAGATTAGATATTTACAAAAATGTAGGTGTTCGAAAACTGCATACAGGATTACGTTTTTGACTGCCTAATCTTCCGTGAAATTTGCTGTTTAGTAAATTAAAAAAAAAGTAATGTTCATCTATTACATACGTTGAATGCGAAATATTATTGCTTATTTTTAAAGGTAAGCTATAAATACTTCTGTACAAATAATATTTTTGTCTACGTAACACATAAACTTTTGGCCTGAATCAATCAAACTATACTTTTGTAAGTGTTTAGATTTCTATGTTAATACTACATAGTAATAACTAACATGGACAGCTATATTCGATCACGGCTATGGTCAGTCCTTATACTTATATAATAAGTATTTGCAAAACTGTCAGTTCTATCTTAACTGTCAGTCTGTCTGTATTTAGTATGTCTGTCTTGCCGTCAAATGGATCAAGGATAATGGGACACATCCTCAAGTTACCTTATTCGTTCTGATTCTCTTTCTCTCTTCAACTTTTGAACAGTATAACCAGCTGCGATAAATTACTTATTGAAACCCTATTAACTGTCAGTTCGCTTAGAAATAGAGGAATTTATATCCGATTTCCTTATGTGCGTGCTCATCATGGTTTCTATGGAAATGAAAGAGCTAATTTCTTAGCTAAAGATGCCTTAAATTTACCCATTCATATCAACATTAGCATTTCAAACAGCTATTGGAAGCCCTTCTATTATTAAAAGCTTTTAGCTAAGTAGAATGAGGAATATATTTCATCTTGTAATTGCTGAGGTCACCAAAAAGTTCTTTCCTTCTATTTACCATAGACTGCATTCCAAGTCTTTCTTCTCTATAAAATTTTGAAATTTATCAGTTTTTATCTGGTGACGAAAAGTTTGCAAGTTACCTATTTCGTTTTAATCTAAGATGAAACAGTTTATGTGAATGTTCAAAAAGAGTACTTTAGGAAGTGGAACATTTGATTTTCTCATGCCTTACATTTGATGGCCCTAGATTATGCTTCGAGAACGATTTGAAAATGTTCGGAGTGACTTGGCCAATGAACTTATCTGTTTTCGTGAAGTCCGGACTGCTATTCTCTGCTTTTGTTCGTTTTATTTATGCATGTAACTTTTAATGTTTTAATTAACTTACTTCTGTAAGCCCCGTGTTGTACATATGTGATGCATGGGGAGCTTGTATGTTTTCAAATTTAAAAAAAACTGTCAGTTCTCAGAGTACCATTAGACCCTGTACATTTTTCGAATTCGATCATCGGCCACATATTACTGAGCTTCTGAAATATATAATTTTAGATGAGCTATTAATAATGTGCACAAATCAATTCTCACATGGCTTTTTAATTACTTTTAAGTAAAACTATAATTCACACAATTCCATAAATGATTCTTAGTGCTTTGGTTACTTGTGCATTAGTATTGCTTGATGAAATAGTTTCATCTTGCATACCTTGGACGATCTTAGTCACTTCATTGATTTCTGTCTTCTTATCATAAAGGATCATTTAATAAATTTTACATCACTTGCTTCTTGTTTTTTGTACGCAACATATTTATCGCCTTGTCAGAAGATTTTAAGCAAAATATAGCCCTTAGCTCTAAACAAGAATAGGATAGTATAAATTTAACCATCTACATTAGTGTTATTAAAACAGAAATAAATCTTTTATCGTATAACAGAAGAGAATTAATGTTTTTTCTTGCTTATTAATGTAATTCCCAGGCATACTTTAGCTCTTAACCCCAGATAATGCAATCAACAATTTTCATTTTCAATCCTAAAATAACTGACATCCCTAATTAATTCGTTTAAAATCTTCTAAACACGAATCTTACCTCCTGCAGTTCATGTTGGAGCAAATTTGATTCAATTTTACATCGATATATAGGAAATCAACATTATTTCATGTTTTCAGAAATGTTATTATTTTTAATTGTCTCGCAATAATTTCTCATTTTAATTTCATTGTTTTCAAAGATAGTTTCTGTACTTGCATGGGCAAACCTTTCTATATCTTAATTGCACTTAAATGCTAAGTAATAGTTAATTCTTGTGAGAATCTTTGCAAACTTTTAACCATGTGAAATTCAAAAATAACTTATAATGAAAAACTAACATAATAACCGTACCAAACTTGGTTATTGATAATAGAACCTCACCTTCTTCCCCCAGCTGAGCTGAAAGGGAATTCTTACCAAGCGAGGAGGTTCGGAAGTCATCTGCAAGTTCCTTTATCTGAAAGTCATCCCCCAGCTTTCACGAGCTTCAGCGGTCTCAAGCGCAGCGGGATCATGCCCGTCGTCAACAGCTTTAACCCGCCAGGGATCCATGTGACTACTTCTGTGTGTGATGGTGCAGAAGATGCCATGGAAGCGGAGCAAGAAAAATATCTCGACATTCCCTGGGTTACTCCAGCCGAAAGTTGCGAGTAAGTCATCGCTGTTATCTTATCATAAAGCGGCGACGAAGTTATCCAACATATTCAATAGGTACGAGCTATTCTTGAAATTTGCCATAACGAACGTATGCTAAGAAATCGGTGCCGAATGCCGTGGCACCAGAGGCTGACCAGATGAGACTGCCGAACACTGATACTTCGATCTGTGTTCAAAATCCTTGCGAATGTGTGCGCTGCATGAGAGTTTTCGTGGTTTGGCTCATTTGTAAAGTGAATATGAGCCCTATACAAAGGCATCTTGTTCGTAGCTCTCTTGTGTTTTGTCTTGATCAATCATCCTAACCAGTAACATAATGTAAAAACTAATGACATCTTCGACAGGAGATGATCGTTAAACATGTGCCCAAATTCAAAGTTAATGCTATAATTTGGGTATCAAAAGTATTTTAATTAGCTTATTTACTTCGATTATCTGTACCCTGTGGGATCGCAAATTATTCGGATAAAAATCTTTAAAAATTACTATTTTAATTAAACTGTTTATTCCTAAATACCACGCTATTTATTTTAATTGCTACAATTTTTTTGAAGTTAACATTTCATTTTTTAGTAAAATGAGGGTAGAAAATACGCCTAACTATTTATTTTCTCGTTTCTTCTTTGTGTATTCATTTAAGCGGCAGTTAAAAAATACACAAAAAGCTTTTGTTGTTATTTCTGTTGTTGTTCTCCTAACCAAAGTCTCTTACTACATTTAGGGCATGATAATTTATACATTTTGTAGCAACTTCTAGAATTTGTGGCAACTTTGTTGCATTAGATTACATAAACTCTATATAAACAATTTTTAAGGATACACAATTTAAAGTAGAATAAGTAAAATATTGCTTCGGTTATAAATGCAAACTTCTTTGATAGTAGTGTTTCGTTTTTAAGAACCCGTTTTTAAAACTTTTGATATGAGTGCTTTAAATAGCTTTCAGACAAAATTAAATTCGCAAGGAAGGACTGAATTTCGAAACAATAATAGAATTTACTCTCTATTAAAATGTTAGGATACGATCTGATTCTACTTCTGTAGAGAAAAGCAGGTTTAAAATAATCCAAATGGAATTAAATATTCGGTGCACTTAATTACGTTAAGAATCGGTAGAAATTAAGTAGATTATACTAATCCTGAGATTATGCAATACAAAAAAATTGTTTATAGAGTTTGTTTTGCTTTGATAGTATAAACTAGTATCATGCTCCTAACATACGTTAAGCAAATTATCGCCGTGTCTGAAGTCAACTACGCAGTCTTGAAAAGGTTAAAGTAATCTTTTTATTTAAATCAGAACTTAAAGTAAAAATTAAACGTAATTAAATGTAAAATGCACGTCTTGCCTAAAATGCACATAATTAGCCACCACTTGAAATGCAACTTAAAATAACTGTCAAACTTTAAATTTAAAATGTAATCTAGTAGTCAGGACTACATAATTTAATTCTACGCTAAGCTGGCTCAGAACTTCAGTCGCCGTAACAATTTAAATGACGGGAGCTATGACGAAGAGCCGAATAATTTAAATCTTATCGGAGCTGGTAAAATCTAGTAACGTGCCGCCATACGCAGAAACACGCTCGGTCTTACAATCCCAAAACCTCAATTTAAATCCTCTCAAACAGTTTTGCGTTCTGTTGAGGAACCGGAAAGGAGAAGTTATAGTAATGGTTTAAATCATAATAACTGGTTAATTTAAATAATAATGACCTTATATGTTTACAAATCAAATGATTGTTCAAATTAGAATAACTATGCTTAAATCATTCCTTTGTTTTCGTTTAGCTAGATCATCTGTGGAAAACGATCAATAAATGTATGATATAATCGCATTATCATTTAATTTACAAGGTCTGACATAATTATTACGCAGAAAGCGTAATAAAATGCAAAGGATTTGGAGTGCATCAACTTTCGATCAGAAATGCGTAGTTTCTTAAAAGTAACCGAAATCATCGCCTATGAATGTAGAAAACTACAAAGACATACTACACACTGCAAAGTGAAGGTTAGTATGGCAGCTGTAATTTTTTTCCGTTCCGGGCTGTAATTTTTATGAGCTGTAATTTTTTTTCCAGTTCAATGCATTTACATCATCTTCATGTAAGCCTTTTATTCGTATTTACAGAGATTCAGTCAGCTAACGCAGGTCAAAATCAGTTTAAACTACAAAGCAATCAATCTCTCTCCTCACAGTTCGGTTAATCTTACACCCAAGATCTCTTCTCTGGCATCCCCGGAGCCAATAATATGCTCCAGATATTTCACAGTCAGTTTATACATCTAATTAAAACTGTCTATGTGACTGACATTAAGTGACCATATGACTGGCTTTGACTAAATGTCATGCTTACTGTATTAAAAATCCTACGTTGTCTAACACATTTCGCTACAGTAATAGAGTACCTCATAAAAGTTAAGTACGTGATGAAAATGATCAAATAGCTTATCGGCTGGTTTAATTGAGTCACGATGAGAAGATGCTAAACTCCAGTTTTGAGTCCAAAACCGATTTGTCCTTCAGAAATCATCCACATTTAAGCGTGAAATTAAGTTAGATTAATGACTATAGCTAAGCACACGAGGAATATATGTCTGAGAGAAAATAGGACTTCGTGGAGAACTTTCTAAGGGAAACAGGTTTGTTTTCAAGTAATGCATGTGGAAACCCAACCATGCTACCGGTGCTTTCGCCTGGGATCAAACTTGAGTCGAATTCTTAACATTCAGCAGTACTAACCACTCGGCCGCTGGTCGAGCCAAGCGTGAAGTCAAACTCATTCGTTTGCGCCTACGAGTTTCATTTGTCAAAAAAAGGTTTTTAATGTAATAATGTTAACACTGAATTTAGATGAAATTTATTTTCCCACTAAGAGTTCCCATCGGATTCTTAATGCTGAAGTCTTGTTGAGAGGTTCAGAACAGCAGAAATCATTAAAGAAGTAGTTAATTTCATTTATGTGAACCATTCTGTCATTTTTCGCTCCCGAAAACAATTCCAAAGAAATTAAAAATCTATTCAGAAAAGACTTATCAGGTCTTTGCACTATTTGTGAGACTATGTATTGCAACAATGGGTGAAAATTTCTATCTGATTAATGATAGCGCTAGAACAAGGCATTAAAACACAGGGATTGTTCTTAGTTTTTTTACAATGGTATGATAACGTAATTGCTACTCCCTAGACCTAAATAAAACCTTTGGGATAGTTTTCATAAAAGCTGTTTTTGCACGTCAACCTCCATCAGCTATTCTCCAAAAGTACAACTTCTTTTTCTTTAGAAACGACAATTATTTCCATTTTCATTGTTGAAAACCCCACTGAAAAGAAGAAATACCGACGCAAATTTTGTGCCAAAGCTACAAATAGCCACAAAATTTGATTGCCAAAAAGATCACATTCTATCTTAAAGCTATTCTTTATAGTGCTGAAAATCCTTTTCAGGTGCAGTAAGTGTTAAGCACTTTAAGGATTAATTGTATACATAAATATTTTTTAAATTTCATTTTTGCACACAAAAAAAATTTGGAACCAATGTACAAGATTTAGCGTTTATGAAATGTATGTGACATTTTTATCTCACGTCGATTTTATTCTTGAATGCTTAGAGCGTTGTGTAAGTAAATTTTACACTAACTATAAATAACCTAAAATGAGTATATTACGTAAACTGGGTGCAACTGAAATAAAATCATTTGTAATTAACGGAATATTTTGAAACTTCTGAAATTAGTTTATCTGTGTTTAATTTTAGAATTCTCCGTGGTTTTCCTCCTGTTTCTCCCTATGTTGGCGTGAGTCCTACTTTCTGTTATTTGCTCAAAGTCAAGAAACCACTCTGCTGTCTTCAGTTATCTCAGGTAAGAAGCTGTACAGTTTCGTTTCTATTTGAATGAACAAATTATTTGTTAATGTCTTTTAAATGAAAACTTAAATTTGCAACTGTCTGTTTTTTTTCGTAAATTCGGAATTTCGTATAACTTCAGGCGTTTAATCTTCGATAAAGATAGGCGAAATGTGTGCACAAATGTGTAAAAATTGGGCAAAGATTAATACGCATGATCTTCTAACCAGTGAGCACAAAATAATGGATATTTCATTAAGCAGCCATCCCCAAAAGAAACAGCTATATTTTTGTAGTAACCCTATAGAGCAGAAGGGTGGTTACAAGTGACTGAAAGATTTGTAAAGCAAGTAGTAGATATATTTGTTATAAATCAATGACCTGTTGTGATATCTGTAAACTGAAATGTCATGCTGGCAAAAGTAAGCCATACATATTAAAACATTTAGGAAACTTTATTAACGAAGCACTTCGGAATATTTGCGAGATATGCTGCAATAACCTGTTGATAGTCCTATTTCAGCATGTCTAAAAACGGTAAGAAGCTTATCTCAGGTAAGAATATCTTCAAGCAATTTTTGGTGAAGAGTGCGACTTTCCTATATTCTCCGAAAAGCTTAGAACCGTATATTGTGTTTCTGTGCTCAGTATGTTGCTAGTTACGCTTGAGTTTTTAGCAAAATAGAAGAGGCTATTTTAGCGAAATATTTTAATTACGGATTTCATCATCTTCAAGATATGCTTCTGATACTGAGAATGAAGGGAGCAGTTCTACATCGCGCAAATAAATTCAGAGTAACAAATCCATTAATTTTTACAATTATTAAAGAAGTAATACGTGTGTGTGTCTGTCTTTAAAAAAGAAACATAAAATTTAGAATGCTGAAATTGTGCGAGATTGAGAAAACGAAAAGATTAATTATATTTATAATTATTTGAAAACGAAACATCCGACAAAAGTGACAGCAAAGGAGAGCCTAGTTTAATGAAATGAAAATAAGTAAGGGTGGCTCATTTTATTTCCAACTAAAAATTACGGAACATGAACTTTCTTTCAGTGCGTTGGTAAAATCTGAATAGTGATTAGATAGAAATTTGCCTGAAATTATTTGCATGGCTCCGTATCGTTGCAGGTCTGCGATCATTGCACGTTCCGTACAGCAAAGAATTACAACTGGCCAAATCGCTGCATCATTCTGGCTGCAGACTACGCCAGCAATGGCATATACAATTTCATCGTTCCTCTCAGAGCTCATTTCCACAGTCCCCAAACGCTCAGGCCCATCGTATTGCTCCTCGAAAAGAAGTAAGTGGAAATCCTCTTAGCTCTGTATCCCAGACGCAAACACTGTAATTCAATACATATAAGGGTACTTATGGGCTTTGTTTATAACATATTCTTTCATTTACTAAGCTTCTCAAAAGAAGTAGAGAAGTTTATGGAATTATTATCAAAGTTGTGCACGAAGGGATTCTGTAAATCTATGAAAATTATAGTATCGTATAACCTGCACAATTTAAAAATAACGCTTATCATTACACTTCATAGTCATTACGCTTTTATGAGTTAGAATGTTTCTTTTCCCTGCGTTCTCGTAACTAAGCTCTGATGTGTTTACTTCTTTGCTTTGAGTCGTTCACCCTTGATAAACACAACAGTTGAACAAGCATGAGTATCGCCGTTTTTAGCATCATCTTCTTATAATCTGTCTACGCATCTTTTATTCATATGAAAGGTCAATTCCATTCGTAGAGAAAACATCTCCAAACTATCATCAGGCTTTTCAATAGTGTTTTTCTATTTTATATTCTTTTATACTATTTTCTATTTCTTCTTTTATGTAATTTTAATTCTTAATGAATCTTAGAACAGTTGCAAAGACATTAGGTATTTTTTTAGGCAGGAGAAGTGAAAATTGAGCAACGCCTTCGCCGGGTATCGAACCGCGGACCTCTGGAATGCGCGCCCAGCATGCAGACCACCACACCACGAAGGCAAGCCAAGGCGGCGGGAGAAATACCTTATATACTT